CCCAAGATCCTCCTTTTGCTGCTCTGAGCGGAGTCGAGCTCCACCGGTGTCGAACGCCACCCGCCTGGGGCACCCCGACCTCCATCGAGCTCGGAAAAAAGCGGTGGATCGAGCTCGCCAAGGCACCCTGTTTTTGGTTGCTTCTTTTGGGAGCGGGTAGAAACATGTAGAACCCCCATTTGTTTCTTCCTAAGGGTTTCCTACACAGGGCTACAGGATTCGATCATGGCTCCTATACAAGGTTACACGGTGAGGAGGGATGAAACCGACTCTTTTGTTTCACTTTAGGGACTCTGTTGCACGCACTCATTCTGTGCCCTCCCCAATTCAGAACTTGCACGAACCTAGAACTCGCTCCATGTCAAATGCAACAAGGCTGAAGACCCATTGGCAACATCCTCGGATGGTATGATTGATTCTCAGTTCCATTTGGATGTGATGTGCTCCTCACATGGTGATGTTCTCCGCATCGAGATGGTTCGATGCTTCGCGACGACGCGTTCGCTGGGCCTTCTTCATTCGGGTGTGATGGCCCTAATAGCCATGGCCTCCAACCGAATAGAGCGATGGCCTCCAACCCAACGCCCGTGTCAACAGGTGAATGGGAAGGACATCCCTGCGCCCATCAAGCGCTTCGAGGAGCCTGCCCGGGTCCAGCAGATGCAAAGCAGGTCCGAAGAGGTCACTTAGTACACTCCCGAAAACTAACATGGACCCTGAGAATGGGACCCGGTAGGGCTGGTTTCCTCAGTTTTCCTCTACAAACCAGTGGTTTTCAGGGTCCATGTTAGTTTTCCACGGTGTAGATCACTTACTCTCCCTGAAACTAACATGGGAAGTGGTTCCACGGAGTCAATGGTCTATGTTCCCTCTCAAGAATTGCGTAGGCGTTTACCTCCACACCCACTGTTGTTTGAAATCCACACGTAGGTGGTTCCAAGGGGTCCTGTCTCCGAGCTGATCTACCCTCGCAGAATTCAAAAGAACCGACAGAGAAATAGATCTACTATACCAGCACCTTCAATATGGGGTCTCCAATGGAATACCCTACACTACTGGTGGATCTCCATTGGACACCCCGACATGAAGGTCTAGCTAGGTATATTGGAAGTTTACACGTGTCGTCACTGAGCCTACCAGGCGCCCCCTAGCGGCCCACGGTGGGCCCAAGAGTTGTGTGATTATGTTTGCCATGTGCCGCAAACATCCACAAACCGCAAACATGATTGCTGTATTGGTTGGTGGGTCCCTGTGAGAGTCTTCTCAGACGTTCTTTCTTCAATGTTCCATTGGACTTTCGGTAGCTTCCCGTTGGCCCCGTTGGTGGACACCGGTCGAGAAGCCTCCTCTTGGTGCTCTGGTCGATTGAAAACAGGAGATGCGCTTGCCGCGTGGAATCCTTGAAGGCCAGCGTTGAAAGTGAAGTGAAGATGTGCAACTTTTTGTTTACGAGAGATTGGACGAGGCTTGTACGTGCCGTATTATCCACCAGAGAGGTGGCGAAAAATGCTGGTGCTCCAAACCCGGTGACCAAACTTTTCGCGCCTCAGCCTCCTGGTGTTCTCACTCGCGATTCAGTTGTGAGATTGGCCACCTTTATCCCAACACGTGTGCACGGCCGTGACTCTGAGTCACGTTTCGACCCTTCCTGGCTACAAGTCATGTTTCACACCTGTTTTCTGATGTTTTCTGCACACGTACATGTCCCTGCACGTGGCATTTTGAGGGGAACATGTGCCAAATGTGAGGAGCAATCTGTTTGTTTGGCAGCGCTGCGGGGTTTTGTTCGCCATCATGGCGGTGTGGTGTTTTGGGGGTGACATGGGGTGACTGTTTTCCTGATTTTGAAGGGGACGGACATGTTTCTCAAAGTCAGATGGCTCTATAGAATCACACTTGAGCAATCTTCTTGCACCAGTCCCTACAGTTGATACCCCTTTTGGATGCTATTGGGGCATGAGGTGTTATATATAATATGTGTACATACCCAGGTGCTTTCGATATGTAGGAGCAGAACATAGGCCATTTGTAGAATAAACCGGTCTTCAGCAGATCCATTCTCCGTGTCCCGTTGCCCAGCACTTGTTTCGAACACCCGCCGCTCATCGCAAGGCCTAAAAGCCAAGGGTATCATGCGGCCAACGCAGATCCAGATGCTCGGGCACTCAGCTGGGTTAAGCGACCGGCTGATTTTTTTCGCCCCATGCATGAGGCCCGAGGCTGTAGGACAAAATGCGAGATGAAAATCACAGGTTTTGACTGGTTTTGGGCCTTTCCTTGACAGATGCGCTCGCTAAGAGGTGCACTTTCATGCCGTATCAGAAACATTGTTATAAGAGGTGTGTGATTTCGATCTCGAAGTCAACATGGAGTGTGTGCCTTATTTCCGAGTGAAGCTGTCTTTGATGTTGGAATGCCCTGGGGTGGTTTGAACGGGTTCAGCTCAGTACGCGGGAATGGCCCCATCCCATGGATTGGTCGGGGTGTGGGACTCTACATGGCGTGTGCTACAGGTGCAGTGCCCATTTCGATCGGATCGATCCACTGGGATCATTGGGTTTCGAGGTTTTCCTCAGTTTGCCAAGCATAGCTGCCTTGTTTCCAGAGGATTGGCATCCCCTTTGGGTGGTCGGTTGACCTCATGGTGGTGAAAACCCTTGGTGAAAACCGGTCCCTGACGTTGGGGGACTCGGTGAAGACGTTGGGGACGTTGGGTGAACGTCCCAACATCGGAGGCAGGGCATACCTTGTGGCTTGATGGGCCGAGACATCATTGGAGCCTTGGCTTGAACAGCGGCAGACGCGGCAGACGAAAGCCGTGAGAAGGGTGAGATAGAGCGCGGTTGGTAGAAGGACTTCGGGCGTGGGAAGATGTGGGAATACTGCACTAGACTGTACTATGATCATCGCAGTGCAGCATAGTGCATCCAATCTGTCAGAGTGGGATAGGACACTCTGCAAAGCGAGAGAGAGAAAGAAAGAGAGAGATAGAGAGCGCAGCTGGTCAAGAACGGTCAAAACCGGAGTTCCTAATATCAGGATATATCGGGCAGCCAGGCCCTCTTCAGCCTGACGCCTGAAGACTGCCATACTTGGCCCACTGGCCCTGAAAACTGCACCATGCCCTGTTCGCCCACCAGGAATTGATGTTGATGTCCTTTTGAGGGCTTCTTCTGATTCTAGTGGTGCTTGGCCGCTAGGCCCCGCTAGGCTGTAGACATTCCCCGATGTTCAGCACCTACACCGGCCGTTTGGGTCGCTCGTGGATGTCATCCGCAGATCGGTGTCGGAACGAACTCGTTGGCTGCGTCTTCCCGGGATGCGACCGGTCTTTCCCAGGAATTGCCTTCACAGGCAGCGGAAAGACGCTGGTGTCTCTTGTCCCAAAATGGATCGTTGGCCTTGGCACATGGAACAGGTGAAAGTATTTGCAAATCCGGTCGTTTTGGTAAGGAGGTGGGGTTAAGACGGGGACTCTCAAACACGGGCAAGGAAAATTCACACCCAACAAAGCTTTGTTTGATAGAAACTGTTGAACCATGGTGAACCTATCGACTAACTGATTAGATTACACCGCAGTGAGTCCAAAGGACAGTTTCAACTGATGCTTTATAATGTCACTTCGCGGCCTTCAGGACCAAGTCTTTGCGCCGCGTTTGACGGCCTTTCCACCGGACCTCAACCGCAAGTGCAAGATCACAGTGGGCACCGCCGCACCCCAACCGCGAGTGCTAGATCGCAGGCAGTGGGCACCATCGGACCTCAACCACCAGAATGAATGCCAGAAAATATGCCCGGTAGAATGCCTGAATATGCCTGAATATATATATATATAAAAATATATACTTAACTATATATAAATATATAATACTTTATATTCAACATACACTGCCAGATAGAATGCCGGAATATATGCCATGCCAAGAATACATGCCAGATAGAATGTCGGAAAGCATGCCAGACATAATGCCAGGTAGAAGGCGAGAATCAATGCCAGATTGATTGTCCAAATGCGTTCCAGAGAGAGTGCCAGAACATACTGTATGTCAGAAAGAATGTCAGATTGATTGCAAGATAGAATGCCAGCAAATATGCAAAATAGACACTTTCTCTGATGGCAGAGCAGATGCCGGAATACTTGGCAAAACGCATATCAGGCCCGAAACCGGACCATATAACACAATCAATCAATCATCAAGGTGTAGAGATGGACGTGGTGCAATTGCTGGTTGCCCAGAACCTTTGTTGTTATCACTGGATGTTTGGCACGGGCCATCAGGCGCTCTTCTACTTTTCTCGTGAGCGCTGGGGTTCATCCAGTTTCCCATCCTTCCCACTCTTCTTGTCTCCTGTGGCTGCATGCCTCCGCCTGCGCTCGCACAATTTATTTCAGATGTTAGCATCTCAGCCCTTCTTTTTCAATCAGCCTTGTTATTGCTGGCTAAGCCTCAGATCGCTAGATCCTCAGATCCCACTAACATCGCCTTTTTAAGATTCAATGATGTTGCTCTCATGATTTTGTCCTGCAATTTTTCCCTGACATGTCCATCGGTCCATCCCCTCAATCCAGAATGTCTTACAAGAGTGTCCCACAACACTGTCCTCTCATGGGCGCCCCACAGGTATACTGTATTAGTACTGTAAAGCATTTTTTTACGTTGGCATGAACAGCATTGTAGTAGTGATGGCCGTCATCAACATCAGCGTTACCTGGTGTCATCTCGTGGACGATGCTTTCGGGCCACCCTGTCGTGTAGTTGTTGCCGATGTCTTTGCGCACGGCAAGTTCCCAATCAGTCAAAAGTCAAAGCACTGATTATCCTGGTGCCTCACGGAGCCCTTGGTGCGTGGGCTGACTGGGATACTGTTGGTTCCGCACCCCAAGATTTCGGGTTTATGTACTGTGGTTTTCCTGGAATCACTTGGAATGGTGTGGCCCGTCGTCGTGCCGGGTGGCCTGGCTCGGCCGTCGCCCGAGCCTCAAGAGGTTTGGCCTCCCGATGATCATGTCTGCCTTAGAGCAAGAGCTCAGGGCCAAGGTGCGGGTACAGCACTAATCACTAACATCGAGCCGGCTGGTTTGCGTGGTTTGCGGTGCATGTTGATGGCTCTTTGTGGAAAACCTGACAGAATACTACAATTAATATAAGAAGTCTCAAAATCCCACCCGCTTGTAGATTCTGGGGTGTTACACATGCGCCGATCGTGCTCGGGTCGATTCCTTTTCATGGAGGTTCAGCCCACGGAGGGGCCCTTTGGGCTCATTATCGCGCCCTCGCGAGAGCTGGCGCACCAGACTTACGAGGTCCGAACCTCGCGGAACGCGAACTGTGGACTGCGGACAGGGAGGGGCAGCGTGACAGCCCCCCCTGCGAGATGCTTGGGGTGTTTTTTGTTTGTTTTTTTGCATTGGATTTGGGATTAGGAGATCCAAGTCGATGGCGTGATGATGTCCAATAGAAAGCAAACTCTATTATCATACTCTATCTATATTGATATGCTTGCCCTCGAGACTTGAGGCCATGTTCGCAAGCAAATTCACATTGATTCTTGCACCAGCCAACCTCCTTGCAACTTGTTGAGGTTCCGCAGGCTGCAGTGGAGACGATTCATCGAGTATATCTACCATATCACTATAATGCAGCCACCCTGGAAAGCAGCAATTAGGCAAACAACAACTCAGCTGGGAAAAGCCCAGCTTGCTAGATCACCGGCAGGTTTGAGCGGCTGATTATATACAATCCACATGGATCCACATGGTGTGTATATTGAAATGATAAGGTAGGTATAGCAGGAAGCCTTCAATAGAAATAGGCTATCCATGACTATCAAATTTCTCAGAGGGCCTCCCTAATCCAAAGTCGATCCATTTGATCTACTGTCGTTGTTTTCTCTCTCAGAGGTGGGTGTCCTCCATCACTTCAACGGTTGCATCCACCCTGACACTCCACCAACAACGGACCGGCAGGTGATCGAGTTCTACACCGACCACCTGGCCGAGTACCATCGAGAGTTTCCCAAGCTCCGATCTGCCCGGCGCCCGAGGGTCGGCCAAAGGAGCCGTTGGAAGGAAAAGCACCGGCGGATGAGGGCGGGAGGGCGGCGTTCATGTAGAAGTTGGATGAATCAAACTTCCCCCCCCATTCATTGAATTGCAAACTTGGATGAACCAATTTCCCGGACATGGACGGTAAAACCTCTTCATTATGTATTCTACATCACTGCTGGATCGAAAGAGCCGGCCGTGCAAATCCTTATAGCTATAGGCTATAGCTATATATAGCCTATTCTCCAAGCTCGGCCGGTGCAGGGAAACACTTGATTTTATGCTCTGTCAGCATGCGCCCGGCATCAGCACCAGTATTAGTAGGTCTGTTTTGGCGTTTGGTGGGGCGTTTCTAGTCACAGCATCATCGTGGATTTCCGGTTTCCACATCCAGTCGGCTGATTGGTGATGCGGCCCAGGTGCTGACGATTGGCGGCTTGAGCACCGGGACGCAGGCGATGGCCATCAAGAAGGGGTGCCACATGGTGGTGGCCCCTTAGGCAGCAAAAGAGCATGCGGAGGCGCGAGCAACAGCACACACACTCTGCTCAGAGAGGTCTTGAGTTGGGGGGGCAAGTCTGAGCACGCTTCGGATAGGTTTTCTTTTGTGCATGGGGGATATGTTTGAGAGAAACCGAGAACGGGCAGTTTTTGAAGATCGGTTTGGTCAGGGATGAACGATAAAAGTCGTGGTTCCATCTCAAGACTTCTTGTTACTTGTTAGCTGCCATGGCCCATGCGGCGTTTGCTGCAGCATCATGAGATGCGGTTGATCCTACGGCAGACTGATCAGACTCCTGAAGTTGTACATGGCTCGGCCGTTTCATGGGCTACGAGACGGGTTCCAATACGACAAGGGAGGCCCTAACGAGGGAGAGCGGTGGAGATGTACTACATCCATGGACGAGCTTCGGGAGGAGGGTTGGACGACACACACCACAGGATTCGTTTTGACGTTCGGATAGATAGCACATGAGACGCACATTGGCCAAGTGCAATAGTGACTGTACAAATCTGTACAACAACTCTGCAATGGGCATACGAGAACAAACGAATGGGTATGTGATGTTTCGTTGATCTATTAGTTCCCATTCGTGGAGACTGTTGGAGGGAAAAAGAATTCGAAAAGCAGCTGGAACTTATTGATTCCTAGTTCCCATGGGGAGGAGTAGGCAATAGGCCGGACCTTGGAATCGGAAAGAGCTCGCTCTTCAAGAAGTTCCTCCCACCTTTGCAACGATAGCAAATGGCCAATTCTCCACTAGTCACTAGGTCTTTGTTAAAGTCACAATGGCCACATGGCCCCACATGCCGAGTATAGATGCTCCATTTAGATCAGTGCACGTTTACGTCATTTATATCTTCAACCTGTGCTTCGGCTTTTTGGCTTCAATCGTCTATTTGGTGTGTCGCACGAACTCCTTTACGGCATTTCATTGTTTTGTTATGGTTTCGTTTCACCTTGGCGAGAAGCATGTTCACATGGTGATCACATTGCGAGCCCCACCGCCTATCCGCCAAGGCCACTCCAGGCCGCTTGAATGATCTGCTGAACAAGAAAAAGATGTCGCTGGCACAGTGATCTCCCCAGATGGAAGGTGATCAGGCGGACCCGTGCGGACGCTGGCCTTGCAGCTCAAACATCCCTGGCAATCACCTTCAACAACTGTGTGCGGACGACCTTGTTATACCACTTTCCAGTGTTGATCCCACTGCCTCACCACCTAGAAACTGTCCTACCTGGAAAAAGCATGCAGGACACACTGAGACCGAGACCTTCCAAATTTAAAGGCTGTGGATGGCCAAGATGGTGCCGCGTCCAGTTCTAGTGGGGTCGTTAGAGGTTAGCGGTTCGAGACTGGCCTCAGCCTGGACAGAAGATATACATAGATCCAGAATGATCCAGGTTCCATCTCATCCTGTTCAAAACAAGACCCCGACCCCCTGAGCCTCATTTCCTTCTTGGGATAGCCGTTCCTATGGCCCACTTCGGCCACTGCCGAGGTGTCAAGTCCTGGTCCTGGACGAGGCCGATCGCATGATCGACCTGGGATTCGAAGAGGAGATCCGAAACACCTTGGACCACTACCGAGGCGCCTTGGGGCGCCGTGAACGCCGTAACGCCTTGGCTGCAAAACGAAGAGCGCTTGTTCGCAGTTCCCGGTGTTGGTGTGACTCGGAACTGTTGTTGGGAACGGGTTCAGAAGAGCGCTGGCAAGTATAAATAGACGTTAAAGCTTGAAACTGCGCGGGGCGTGGACAAACATAGGTCTTTTGCAGGCTCATTGCGGTGCGGGAAATCTCTTTGTCTTTGCATCCCTGTCACGCGCAGTGGACGAGGTGTGCACATCATTCATTTGGAAATGCAGGATGACCCACGGTCCCTGCAAGTGAGCAAGTGAACTCCCTTGTGCAAACTGGGAAGGGTCTAAGCCCGATGAGTCCAAGAGTGCAGTGGACCGTGCTAGGGACTGGATGAGCACCATTGAGTTGGGACATCGGACCCACGGAGAGTGGAGGAGGAATGGCAGAACATGTAGCATGTGAAAAGCGCAATCAAGAGCAATCAAGAGAATACATCACAAATTCGGGCTTTGATGATTCTTCACTTAGGAGGTTAGGAGGGAGTTACCCCTAGAACTTGAGTAACCTTGTCCCTTGAAGCTACACAAATTTGCACGACCTGAGCTGGAACATGTAGGCTGTCACTTTTGTGGCACCCGGTGTTTTTTCACACACTCTTTAGGGCGTGCCTTTTTGCTTGCTCCTCTGACAGTGCGAGGCCAGCGGCAGACCCTGCTCTTTAGTGCAACCATGCCCAAGAAGATTCAGGACGGATAGAACATGGGCGGGTCTCACCGGACAGTTGAAGCCCACAGTGAAGCTGGATCCCCGATTGTCCAAAGATGTCCCAATTGAGCTCCTGATCCAATTTTTGGCTGCGGCCTTTGCAAGGTGAAGGTGGTTGAGAAGAAAGTGGTGCCACATGTGAGATCAAGCTCCCAGCTCCCGATGTTTGGCTCCCGATGTTGTGCAGGATTTCGTCCTGGAGTGATGCTTCAGACCCACTGCCCAGGGTTGAAGCATTGCATTCTTCCCATTGATCATGTGGAAACAGCCGCGGCAGAACCGATTGCGGCCGCCGCAACTCGCGGACCATGGGCTGCCATGGTGGGCTCATCAAGTCGGAACTTTGGGAAGATCAAGCTCCAGATGCACACGGACATCAAGCTCCGGTCCTTTCCCCAGAATTTGATGGTGCCAGATCTGAGTATAGGGCCTGGGGGTGGTCTCAACCAAGACCTGGCACTCGAATCCTGAAGAGTTTGTGGCAGCCCCAGCCACCACCTGGTGATTTGGATGCTTTTTCGGCGCTGATGCTGGGCGCGGCCATTCCGGCGCGCGCGCGAACCCCGTGCGCGTGCAGGATTTTGCCAAGACTGCCCTGGTGGATGCCGCAGCTTGGCCAGATCAACTCCCGTGGATCTAGTCGATGTAAACGGAACTTCTACCACACTCCGACTCGCCAAAATGGAACTTGTATGAAATTGTATGAAATTGTAGTTCGACCATGTTCGACCTACCGACCAAGAGGTTTTGCACTTCCATGTGGATGGCCTGTTGTGGTAGATACGAAAGACTTCGGTAAGTGGGCTGAGATCACGATGCAGTCGAAAGCTTCTTCTATTCCCTCCCTTGAGCTCGAAGTCTGATTGGAACTATACTACCAAGACTGACCCATAGTTACTATGTTACTCGATTCACAGCCAATTAGTCGTGAATGGGGTCTTCAAGGGGATCGTTTTGGACAAGGACCTGCAGCTGGGCTTCCATTTGGTGGGCCAGCACGGGCCAGCTATAGGACAATGCTATGACATGCTATCACCGTATATCACCGTGCTCAGGTGGTCATCAACGTGGGTCGCGCAGGCGCCGCTAACTTGGATGTGATCCAAGAGGTGGAGCCTCTTGGTGGATGTTGGTTGGACCTTCGAGTGAGGGAACTCACCATAGGGCGATCTAACACATCGATGGGTCGGGAATTGAAGGGAACCGAATTGGATGGGTCGTGGCTGCAGCAGAAGAACGCAGCATCTTCCTTGTACTCGTACTCACGCGCTTCTCATGCTGTAAGAGGATTTTGTCCGATGCGAGCTGAGGTATGTGAAGCAAGAGGCCAAGCTGGTGTATTTGCTGAAATGTTTGCAGAAGACACCGCCGCCTGCCAGGAGCTTAGCCTGCATGGACGTGCATTGGGATCACCATGTCAGGTTGGAAAGCCACAGTTTGGATGATGCCTTGAGATGCCTTGAAGATTGCTTCATCGGTGGAAGTGAGGGTCAGTTATACCTTGAAGCCTTGACTGCTTCCTTGTTGAGTGCCTGCAAGATGGATGGATGGATTGATGGATGGATGGATGGATTGATGGATGGATTGATGGATGGATGGATGGATGGATGGATGGATTCGGATGGATGGATGCATTCCTGCAGTCCACGTGAAATGGTGGAGCACCTATATACTGTGTATATATAACTATACGTGTGTATATTTAAATATGCATACCACGATATTCACATTCACACTTGCTCGTTGAGTCCTTTTGATGTCACTCGCTTGAAAGGCGCGGGTGTTTCAGAGCCTTGAAGCGCTGGATCAGATCTGTCTTCATGCCAATGTGGGTGGGGACCATAAGGATTACTATGGTTTGCTCGGCTTCTTCGCAGTCGAGACGTGGTGAGATTTGCTCAGATCTAGATTTCTCTATGTTGCTGGGATAGGTGTGTCTCCTGGATGGCTTGCAGGTGTATCGATTCGCTTACCTCCGATTCTTCAGGTCTTGATCTTTTGCGAGAACAAGTCTGACGTGGACGATGTGCACGAGTATCTGTTGTTGAAGGCGGTCGAGGCAGGACCAGAAACAGCACTTGTAAAACACGAGAAACATGATGACACATGAAACGATCATAGCTTAATGCACACAAAGAAGACAATTTCGGGGAGACCCACTGTCGAGTAGGCTTGTAACTATCCGGAGGCCCACATGGGCCCACTTGCTAATGGGCCATGCTGGGCCAGATCTTCAAAAAAGGCAAACCCGGTAGTTGGAGTCCGGAGGCTCCGAAGCTGCAAGTGATTCTAAGGCGATGTCAAGGATTCAACAAGTTTAGCCAAGGAACTTGTCCTTGGCTTAGCAGACACCGAAACTACCCGATATGGTAGCAATAGAGAAGAACAAACAGAGGAATGTAGGATTTCGGGCAGGCGATCATTGTCCTTTGCTAAGTACAGTGATTCGACTTCTCTTGGAAGGGTATTCCTGGAAAAATGCAACCTCAAGGATTGGGCCTCGCCTCCACTGGTTCCTGGTTTGCTCCTCATGATCCGTTTCCGCTTCTGTCGGCCGGTGCGGTTCCAGGTAGTGGCGATCCACGGCGGCTTGGACCAGGAGGAGCGCCACGAGGCGATCCGATCCTTCAAGGAAGGCTCCAAGGCGCCGATGGGACGACGACGCGAACCGTCCGCCTGGTGCGGACGACGCGGGTGGGCGGTCCAAAACGGGTTTCGGGGGGTGGGGGACATGGTTTCGGGTGGATGTCTGCAAGCGGGCGGGTTCGGGTGCCCTTTTGGTTGTTTGGGTGGGGTGTCGGGAGGAGAAAGTGATGAGGGGCGAGATGGCAACACATGAGATCCTAGTGTCACATGTTATTTCTCTAATTCTTTTTTGAAGTGAGGAGAATCACCCAGGTGGAGGGGCTCTTGACGTTGGGCGATGAGGATCGCTGTGCACAAGCCTAACCGGATTGTATCTCTGTGCTGGTCTCCGAACACTAAGGGTCCATGAATTACAGTGGTCATGAGTCATCAGCGGTGGACAACCTGGATGGGCTCCCCTAATGCTCGTCAATTGAAGATCAGGAGGATTTGAGAGATGTCCAGTGATGCTGACACGGAACCTACAGGGTGGGACTGGGAGGTTTGTGCCTATGACAAAGGCACTGAATCATTGTTGAGGACCTGAAAGCGACTTTTGAATTGCAATGGCTGGGCGTTTTTTAGCTGAAGCAGTTTGAACGGCCATATTGGTAACCAGACCGTAAGAACCAGACCTTTAAGCATCCGTCAGTTGATCGCTGAAAGATAGATGCGACCTTTGCGGTTTTGATCCCCATGTGCCTGGCACGCGACCAAATCGACCAATAATTACCACGTACATATGGGATGTTTTTTCCAGGCAACCAGACCTTGTTGTAAACCCCTAAACAACCCCAAAGCCAAAGTAAAATCCGAAAAGCGCCGGACCCACCCCGCGAACCAACATTGGAACCCGAGAATGGACCCGTGGTGTCGACCATTTGGTCCACTTCCCTCGTGGGGTTGGGGTTCCATGGGGATGATCTGCAGGGGAGTATCTGTTCGATTCGTTTCTCCTCAGGACGTGCTCATTGGCACGGATGTGGCGTCGAAAGGATTGGACTTCCCCGCCATTCAGCACGCCGCTGGACCTGTGAGCGATACGAACCGTTCGAATCGGGTGACCCTGGGGAGCCTGCTGTCGCCTGGGGGGGCCGGGCGTCTTTGAGCACAAAGGTCTTGGGGTGGTTTGAGTTAGAGGGCTAGTTATGGCTAGTTGATGCATATTGATATGATTGATATGATATCTCAGTTCTCGTGGACTGTTTGGCTTTGCATTCCTTTATGAAAGGAAAGATTTGGAAGCCAATTGCTTGGAGATGTGCTCAAGGTCCTCAAGGTGGCTAGAGCAGCCATAGCCATAACACATTGCCAAGTACTGGATGCAGCACAACGGTGGATCAGGGACCTTTCCGAGACATGCTTCCTGTTTGATACGCTGGTGAATCCACAAAAGATTCTACCAAGGAGCTAAAACCACAGACAACCTGGTATTGGCTTCCAATGTCCAATCCACAACTAAAATTCCTATAGTTTAACCAATTTGTAATTTCCAAGGCGCTTAATTGATTAGGTGGGCAAGAGTAGCCTTGCCGCATGCTTGAGGTGATCAACTTTGATATGCCAAAGGAGATCGAGAACTATGTGCATCGCATTGGTCGAACTGGCTGCTCGGCTGCTGGTATGTTGCGCTGGCGCAAGAGTGGATTGTAAACATTTGTAAACGACATGGAGCAGCAGGATCGTTAAGATACAGTGGAACACCTTTTGAATCGCGGATTTGCATTCATTTGAGCTCTACTTTGCACGGCAAGTTTGCAAATCAGAGGCATCAACTTTCCTGGCTATGGATTGGACATGTTTTTTATTCAACAATCTTCCGCAAGCGGAAGCCATGTACACATAACCAGCAAGCTTTGCCAAGTCAAACAACTGCCTGGAACCCTGACAGCCCGTTTGCATTTCCCTCCCCAAAGCTGTACTGTAATTGCTTTATGGTATACATATATGAGACCTTTGTTCTTTCTACTGCGGGTTCCAGCTGGATTTGCTTGTCAGGCCGGTGTGGCCGAACTGGTGTGGCGACTACCTTCGTGAACAAGAACCAAGACGCCGCCCAGCGAAGAAGTATATATGCAATTCAGGTGTGTCCCATTACCAGATGTTACCAGTATCAGTAGCAGTCAGTAAAAGATTAGCAGTATTTTTGGGAAAGGCCTTACTTAGCCATCATCATCATCATTATCATCATCCACATCCACATCCACTGTTACCGGTAATGGGTGCTATACCGAAAGGATATTACATAATATAGGGATAATATATATATATATACCCCTTAGAATTTCCTCTAGGAAATGGTTTAACCTAGGTTCCATAGAAAAGGGGTCACTTTCTAGTGAGGCATGCCCCCATATATTGCTGGAGCCGGAGCCCCACCATTTTCTATAAAACAGGTTTTTTAATGGATGACACAGTTTGTTGTTACCAATTCCTAGAGGAAATCTGTAGTTTTCTTGTGCTTGAAAAAATGGGATACCAAAATAAGTACAAGAGCATTTTCTAGACAATTGGCAACACATTAAAGATTGATAAGGCAACCATTTTCTAGAGACAACTGCTTGATATGGAAACGGTACGGTGCAAAATGATTGTCCTGAAAAAAATCGGAAGCAAAGATTGGGTGGAAAACAGTTTGCTATAATTTGCTGATGTTTGTTGTGTCGTGTATGTATGTGCACGTCAAAGCTGATAGACGGTGATTGCATATGATTGCAATCGATTGTACAATGTTGTATAAGATCTTACGCTCTAGAAATTGGTTGCTTGATATTTTTTCATTGTTTTCATTGATGACTGAACATATCTAGAAAAAATATCTTAATATTCGGCCATCGAGGAATCTTGTTCAAAAATCCCTTTCCATGGCACCTCTAGAAAATGCATTTCTGGTTTTACACTTGTCTCATTTTATGCACGATGCGAACCTGTACAAGACCATTCCCTAGAGAGGCAACACTTCATCCAGATAAGGTCTTATATTAGCTTATATTTTAGTTTTCTCGAATGCCTCGCATTTTCTAGAGAGTGTTTTACCTGGCCAAAACCATTTACTAGACAAAAGTGAATGCCCCATTTTTCTAAGTAGAAAAAAAATATATATATATATATACTGCTTTCACTGCTCAACACTCCGGCGTAAGCGGAACGGAGACCACTTGGATGCGCATATGATGCCATGGCCGATCGATACCTTCACGAGACACACACGCACACACACACATCAAAAAAATAAAGTTTGTTCGGCACTGCAATTGGCGAGTTCTCACCATCAAATATCCCAATCATTTCAAATCCACGTTTTATGGATTCTTATGGCAGGTAGCCAAGGTTGATCAACACCTTGAGTTGCTTCCTGCATGATGCGCTTCATGGCTCTTATGCAACAGGGGGGCTCCTATGCAACAGGTGGCTCCTCCTGGAGGAACATGGAGCAGCAAGCTAATTTACAAAACCAACCAACCAACCAGGCTGGATGTTGCCGGATCCAAGGAGACCATTTTGTTGGACTTGAAGGCCTTGCTGCTCGAAGCTGGTCAGCACGTGGCTTGGCATCCGAAGAGGGTGGTGAAAAGCTGGGAAGTGGCTCCAAGGGCGGCGAAACTGTTACAGGCCTACATGGCCTGTATGGTTAGCATCTTGGAGATACTGTAGATTCTTTCAGCCAGACTTCACAAGGTCGGTAGCAACAGGGGTAGGCTATGGATCAAGACCAAGATCAGGAATCGGTGTAAAAAGAGGACGCGGCAATGATTTGTTTGCTACCGCGAGTGAGTTCTCAATAATAATCCAGAGTACTAAACACTACTGTACCCAATCGAAAATGATTCATGTCAGACACCCTAAACCCTAAACATTGTCTACCTTTGAAAGGTGGTAATTACCCCCTATACTTTCTGCTGCTAGAATGGCCCCAAGGTCATTTTTTTGGTGGGAGGGTCTTTATATATGCTCCTCCCCGATTCCCATCCTTTGGGGTTTCACTATTGCGACACTCCCAATTCAAAGAGCAAGCGCTCGACCAGAGTTTTCTTACTGTATTGCGGGTTGGCTGCGTTCTGTTCAATATTCGTGGAAGGGGTTATGATAGATACTGTAGATAGATAGATAGATAGATAGATTTACTGTAGATAGATAGATATACTGTAGATAGATAGATAGATAGATAGATACTGTAGATAGATAGATAGATTTACTGTAGATAGATAGATACACTGATACTGTAGATAGATAGATATACTGTAGATAGATAGATACTATAGATAGATAAATACTGTAGATAGATAGATACTGTAGATAGATAGATACTGTAGATAGATAGATAGATAGATAGATGCGTATACCCGAATCTTCCAACTATGCAACATTCTGCCTTCTGGCGGTTCTATGTATATATATATATATTTATTTATATGCATAGCATACACACATCTCAAACTGAGTGTCAGGTGCACCTTTCGGGACATTGGCGCTCTGGTTGGTCAGGGTGAACCCACACCGAATCGCAGGGCCGCCAAATCAAAGTATTAAGATCAGGAGCCCATCCAGCAAGTTGTTGTTGGAGAGCATCCTGGGTATGTATCATCATAGGAGCTTCTTCGGGCGCTGTTTTTGCTAGGGCAGCAGACCTTGTTCCCCAACAAAAGCAGCACAAACCTTCTTCTGTTACACCACGGCATGACAACGGCCAAGTGGTGGCCACTCTCCGTGCCAAGCTGCTCAAGCTCCGCAACGAGCCGGTGCTGGACTGCCCGAGGTGCCACCCTTCCTCATGCAGCTGGACTCCGCGGCCGGAGGACGAGAGGAGGAAGAGATTGGTGGCGTCAAGGCGTGCTCGGACCCGAGGAGACCGCGGGGCGTGGGGAAGCACACAGGAGGTATTGCCGCGATGTTCGCGCCCCTCTGATGCTGCGAGGTGTTGGTCTTGGGACCTGCATGCGAAGCCGCAGAAAGGTGATTTGGGAGATTTTGATGGTGGTGTCGGTGGTGTCTTTCCATTTGGGGACCATTAGTACTGTGGTCATGGATATGCCGAAAGTGCGTATAGAATCAATAAAACCAGCCCCCATGTGGAGATCTAACACCATTCTGATAGAATTCTTCTAATTCATCAACCGTCCACCCATCCATCGGATTCCACCGATCCATCGGTGTGTTTCCAGCGGAGTGACCAGCGGCGTGACGATCGCATGGTGAGTCACCCCCCCGTTGTCCAACGCCTCGATCGTCACGGTCTGTGCTCGACGGTCTCCCAGCGGAGACCACGTCACCGCAGGGCTGCGCTTATTGCGGTGGCTTGGGCCACCGGATTTCCGATTGCCCCAAGCTGGAGACCACGCGGCAGAAGACCACCTCCGCCACCAAGGTCCCGTCCTATGCCGTTCTGGGTGGGGGGGGTGAGGAGTGGGGGGGGTAAGCCCAGCAAGCGGTCGGACTGGTGGATGATTTGTGTAGTAATTGCTGCGAGATGATGCGAGATGAAGGAAGGAGATGGCAGTTTAATGCAACCAAAACAGGAGACCGTCGCAATGGACCATGGAGACCGTGATGGGTCCAAAACAGATCTGGCCACTGTCAGGAGAACCATCTTTTTGTGAGCATATCTTCCGTTGAAGGTTTACGTCTCTACCCACAGCGAAGATGATCTCATCGATTCATCCATTCCCAGGATGCACACTCAGTAGAAAACTGGCTATAGTTGCAAACTTCACGGATAAAACACCTGCGAGAACTGAACAAAGATCCCAAAGTGGTTGGCCCGGTGGAAAGGGGTCATTTTTCGGTCATTTCATGGGTCATGGCGTGTTTTTTTTTTTTTCACTCATTGGGTTCATTTCAAAGGTCAACCCTTTAGGTCATTGCGATCATTTTGCTCCTCGAGGATTGTCCGTGTTGACCATCCCAAGATGGACGGGGACTAGTCGTCCTCACTGGCGCAGGACTACCTCACCACCGGTGCGGCTCGCTATACCGGTGCCGAAGGCCGGGTCTTCCTGGACGGTTTTGGCACGTTCGTCACTGCGCAGGAACTGGCCCTGGGCTTCTTGAGCTGGCACCCTCCGACTCACTAGCATGGAACTGGACTTGTGTGTCTTTTGGGAAGACTATTTTCCTCTACCCGGTTAGTTGTACCCAGAAAAGAGCTGGCAGATGCAATCTCAATGAGAGCCTTGGGGTGGGCCGTGGCGGACAGTCAAACGAGGACATGGCATGCACATGATTGTGCATGTGCATCCTCCATGCTGCAAACTTCTGCTCGGGCTGGGAGTAAGTTCCACGCTGATGAGATAATTATAGATAATTCTAGTATAGTTAGTATAGTACATTCCGTTGACTTGCGCTGTTCTATATATATTCAAGCGAGCAATGTGCAGATCCAGAATGCTGGACAAGTGATCCGATCCGAGAATGTGCCTTTATGTGGGTGGAATGAGCACAATCCGAATCCATTTTGGCTGACTTTGTAACATCTTGTAACTGCTAGCGAGACTGGCTAAAGGCTTCTCACCCCCTACTATAGCGGGTACGCCAATCTCGGCACATGTATCCACTCAGCCTATCTCAGGGTCCGATTGCCAGGCAGGACACTTATTGCAATGGATTCTGGATTGGAGAGACCATGGATTGGGTTAAATTGGATCCTGCTGGATCCTTCTCACGACGTCCGTCCAGCCAGGCTACGCCGGCGATTGGTGAGAAGCTTTTACTTGCGTGCGCTGCGAGGTGGAAGCGGAGCTTCCAAGGCTTTGCCTTGGGCTTGTGGCCAGGCAAGTGTTTGTTTGTTGTTTGGCTTATTTTTTGGGTCAACGAGTTGTCACATGTTGTGCACCGCATACCCAGTCAGCGGATTCATCTTTTTTGGGGGGGAGTGGTTTCCCCACTGAACAAGAGCAGGTAGAAGAAGGTTAATCTTCAATTTCTTGGGAAACTGAAGCAGTCCGTCCGGCATAGGAGCCACATATGCCCGGCATATGTGGCTCCATACTTTGTACGCTCCGTGGGCTAGGGAATCAAAGATGATCAACGCATTTTCGCTCCACCCTGATCCCTAGCCTTGCACGATAATGGCAAGGACACATTGATCTGGAATATCCTGGAATCCTCTTAATAACACAATACAAAACAATGATTTTGTATGATGTTGTTTGGTTAAACTAAAATCAATGGTGATTGACTCTGGTTGACGTCCCCAGGCAGAGAGGACCGACAGACTGGTTTGTTTGGCCGTAGTCTCGCCGGAGCACATCCCTCGACGTGGAAGGGTGCGGTCTCAGGCCCTGTTTCACATCCTCGCCGAGCGTTTGCGTGCAGCTCGCTCGAAAAGGCGGCGCGCAGACTGAGCGCGTTGCGCCCGCGTTGCGCCCGGCGGTGTGCAGCGCTGGAGGCACCGGGGGGGGGGCGGTCGGAACGGATCTCCGACACCTATAGATCGGGTGCATCAGAAGACCTCGTGGTCAAGTGCGTGCGATGTTTACGGAGTGTGTGCGGCCACTGACAGGGTGTGTGCGGCTACTGTGTATCCAATTGTTCGACCATTTTTCACAGTCGATAGGACATCACATAATTATATATATTGGGACTTCTATTGGGTTTGTCCTTTTACCTGTGACAGTCAGTAAGCAATTATCACTGTTTTTGAACAAGACCTTTACTAAGCATCATCATCCACTGTTGCAGGCAATAGGATAGATCCAAGGTATATAATATACACCTATAATCAATACATACCATGATTGCCCATGCCGATCATTGTGACATATGCAAGAGAATCTACCCCAAACCAGCATGTTCTGGGATGGATTTCTCCGCTTCCCGCCCTCTCGTTTGGGCCCAAGCAACCCGACCGATGTCGCCAGCTGTGGCGGAGGGCCTCAAAAGCCCAGACGTGACGGGAGGTGATCAAGGCATTGGAACCCAGAGATTGCCAGTGGGCTGCTCTAGCCTAGCTGTGTGACTTGTGTGATTTTGTTTGTATTTGTTTTGTTGAGCCTGTAGTCATCTGGAGGATTTGTGTGGTCTTGTTTGTTTGCAAGATTTGTCGGAGGGACCATTCTATCATTGCAATCATTGCAACCACAAAAGAGAGCTGTAAGCAATCATGAGAAGGTCCATAAGTAACATCAATCAGCCGCGACCCGGATTTGCAGACGGTGCTCCGAGGTTTCATGTGGAGCATATGAGGTCCGATGCCAAAGGCCTGAAGCAACGACCAGTGGGACTGGTTCGTCCGACTGGCGGATGGGCTGCCAAACCCCGTGGGCTTTGGATTGTCAGGGTACACAAATGATTTCAAGTCGACCGGGCTTCAAAATAGCACGAACAAAACACACCTCCCAGTGGCGAACTGGTGGGGAACCTCGCCCCCAGGAACCGAGCCAATCCGCTTCCTGGGCTGGCGCGCGGGCGTCTCGAAGACGAGCGTCTCTTCAGCGAGCACGGAGGATGGCCGAGGGGCCCAGACAATCCGATGTGGAACGTCGATGGAATGAAAAAAAGAACTGTTTGAGAATTCATTGAGACCCTTGAAGCGCCCTTCATCCCCCACCCACCTCTCAGATCTCGGAGGTCGCGACTGTCTGTTGCGACTGTCAGGGCCCCCATCGAGGACCCGTTCGGAGGTGGACACACCTCTCGGGCCGTTCCTGAGGCCAAGAGCCAGGGCTGCGTGCCCTTTGGTCGGACGACGCAGCCCTGGAACGTCCTCGCCTCAGTCTTCGACTGCTGGGTTGCGAGTTGCATGACACGGAAGTGCAGGAGACCACAACAAAGGGCCACTGGTTCCAAAGACAAGTTCTAGAAACCTTGCTGCCATACTGATTCCAGGTGGATGATGTGGATGCCTGTATGACTTGGGGTGAGACCAATGACCAATCGATTTCCCTTTGAACACGGAGCAGCTGTCCATTCCAATGACTCGAGGTTTGCAGCAGAATGCTTGCAAGACAACACACAAGGGAGGGCGATCCACATGTGTTCTTGGCGCAGGGGTTCAAACACAAACTTTTGGTGGATGGAAAGGCGGTTGCTACTCACCAGAAGATCCGAAATATCTATTTGCTTGAGGGTAGTGCTGGGGTTCCTGAACTGTTTCTCCAGGTCAACTCTGGCACACTGACTTTTGAAACACGTGAATTGGCTTGCCATAGTTTTGCATGTTCCCCGCGTGTTGCTGTGACTGTGCTTGGACATCGGGGGCCGCCCTACATACCTGTATAATTACAACCATATGTCAGATAATATGTCTTACAGTATTATATACTATATTTAACATTTATATTATGTATCTCATTTGGTCCTCGCTCTTTTCCTTGTGGCAAGCCATTTCACACCCCATGCTCTTCACTTTCAATGTGGCCTCTTCGTCCATTCTTCTCGCCCAAAGCCGAACTCGCCTCCGGTTCGTCCCACGGGGTCCGCGGTTCGGGTCCCGTGACCCATCGCCCCAGTTGGCAGGTACCGATGGCTTTGACTTCAGCAGAAGCTTGGCGGCACCCGGGTGGGGTGAGCAGGCTACGGAGAATGGGTTACAACTATGGTCAGCTGGACCACCGTCCATAACAACATCACGTACGGATCGATTCGAGAACAACAAATGGTCCTTGATCAAGTCTATGTACCGGATCATACGGGATGCATTTTGTAGTCCTACCCATGCAGACTTGACCATTCCCGGATCTGTCGATCCGGATCTGACCATCGACCATGTGGACCGAGGATGGTGGGAGGACTTGGCCCCTGAGAAGCTCCAAACACCGCCCAAGTTGAGCAAGGCCAGGCTGAGATGGAGACGTTGCTCGCAGAAAGAGAGAGAGAGAGAGAGAGAGCCAGTTCCCACCAAGAATCCAAAGCCTTTGGGCGGTGTTTGATCTTGCGGCCATCCATGCCAGGCGAGCTCCAAGGGGTTAATAGGGCTTACAGTTACAACATGTTTAGATTCACTAGACCCCTAAGAACAGTATAGAACCGTCATTAACCTAAGAAGGCCAGTTCTTTGCACCTAAGAAGTGAGTGGATCTTGGGCCCATGTTAAGGCCACGTCCTCGCCACAGACCCGACTCCCGGAACCTCAGGCGGAGGTGGTGCGGCCCAAAGTCCGCAACCCCCAGCAGCGGGACGGCCGACGGTCGCGTTGATACTCGATGGGACGGGCGGTCGCTTTGATATCCAGAGTCACCTGAAAAGTTTTGAAGGCTTTTGGGGATCCGGACCCCTGGGGCTAGAGGGTCCGGAACCCGTTGCGAGGGCCCGGTTCTGAGGGTTGATACGGGTTGATCATGTGCTAAACCGATGGGCTGGACTAGGTGATCCCGCATGAACGCTCTGGGTCAGACATTTGGAGTTACCTCCACGATTTGCAGAATCTCCCTTCGTCAGTGTGTGAGTGTGTGTGAACTAGTGGTTTCCTCATCGATCACA